TGGACTCTGCTACCTTGAGGAAAAGACCTTGGCTGGTCACCCTATCCCTGCCCCTAATGATTTTATAAACTTCTATTAGGTCACCCCTCAGCCTCCGATGCTCTAGGGAAGATAGCCACAGCATATTCAGCCTCTCCCTATAGTTCAAACTCTCCAAACCTGGTAACATGCTTGTAAATCTTTTCTGAACTCTTTCAAGTTTCACAACATCCTTCCTATCGCAGGGAGACCAGAATTGAATGCAGTATTCCAAAAATGGTCTAACTAATGTCCTGTACAGCCAAAACATGACTTCCTATGTCCTATACTCAATGTACTGACCAATAAAGGCAAGCATACCAAATGCCTTCTTGACTATCCTGTCGACCTGGGACTCTACTTTCAAGGAACTAGGAACCTGCACTCCAAGGTCTCTTTGTTCAGCAACACTCCCCAGAACTTTGCCATTAAGTGTATAAGCCCTGCCCTGATTTGTCTTTCCAAAATGCAGCACCTCATATTTATCTAAATTAAACTCCATCTGCCACTCTTCTGCCCATCAACCCATCTGATCAAGATCCCACTCTGAGATAACCTTCTCGGCTGTCTATTACACCACCAATTTTGCTGTCATCTGTGAACTTACTAACTGTACCTCCTATATTCACATCCAAATCAGTTAGATAAATGACAAAAAGCAGTGGACCCATCTGGAGTACTTTGCGCAGTTTTGGTCTCCTTATTTAAGGAAAGATATAATTTCATTGGAGGCAGTTCAAAGAAGTTTCACTAGGATGATCCCTGATATGGAGGGATTATGGGAAAAGGCTAAATAGACTAGGACTCTACTCACTGGAGTTTAGATGAATGAGAGCTGATCTCATTGAAACATATAGGATTCTTTAAGGGGCTTGACAGGGTGACTGCTGAGAAGATGTTTCCCCTCATGGGACAATCTAGGATCAGATGGCATATTCTCAGAATAAAGGGAAGCCAATTTAAGATTGAGAAGAGGAGGAATTTCTTGTCTCAGAGGGTTGGAGTCTTTGGAACTCCTTGCAATATAGAACAATGGGGCAGAGTCCTTGTGTATATTTAAGGCTGAGATAAATTCTTGATCAGTAGGGAAATCAAGAGTTACAGGGAAAGGGCAGAAAAGTGGATGTGAGGAATGTCAGACCAGCCATAGTCCTATTGAATGGTAGAGTCATCTCAAGGGGATGAATGAGCTCCTCCTGTTCCTATTTCTTATGGTCTTATGGTTTTATGAGAATGTATTCATGCATAAGAACATATAAGTGGGCCATTTCTTGCCTCAAATTTGCTTTGCCATTCGATAAAATCATTCCACTTTCCTGCCTGCCCAACTTGCTCTTTGACTCCCTTCCCAGTTGAGAATCTTTCTGCACCTACCTTAAGAATATTCAATGTCACTACATCCACTACTGTTTGGGAAAATGAATTCCATTTTCTAATATCCGCTGAGAGAAAAAGAAAATCTTCTCTTCACCTCCATCTTAAATGGGAGACCACTTATTTTTAAACTGTGTCTCTTAGTTCCAGCCTTTTTGACATGGGAAACATCTTTTCAGCATCTACCTTGTCAGATTCCATCAGAACCTTGCATATTTCAATAAGATCATGTGTCATTCTTCAAAATATCAATGAATACAGACCCAACTTTTCCTCATGAGATGACTCCCTCAAACCAGGAATCAATTGAATGGAGTTTCTCTGCATTGCATTCCTTCTGATGTAATTAGGTGATCTCTTAAATAAGGAGACCAAAAGTATACACAGTACTCTGTGACTTTATCAATGCCCTGTACAACTGTAGCAAAAATTCTAATCAATTGCTGTACCTGCGTCTAACACTTTATGATTCATGTATCAGAACACCCAGATCCCCTCTATGCCTCTGAGTTCTGTAATCTCTGTCCATTTAAATAATTTGCTGCTTTTCTATTCTTTCTGTTAAAGCAGAACAGCAGTTTAGAATAGAATAGCAATTTATTGTCACATGTATTTTTTGAAAAAAATAGTGAAAGTAGGGGATTTGTCAGTTTTCAGTTCAAATAGCTTTTAGTTCAAACAATGCTTTCAGTATCTTTCCCCTGATACTTGTAAATGTTTTAAGTTCCTCCCACCTTTTTACTTTTGGTTACAAAATTTATGGGATGTTATTTGTATCCTTTACATGAATACAGATTTAAGACATCTGTTCGATTAATCTGCCATTTTCTTACTTGCCACTCTTAATTCCCCTCTCTGGAGGACCAAAGTTCAGCTTTTTCTTAAAACAAAAACAGAAATTGCTCGAAAAGCCCAGCGGGTCTGGTAGCATCTGTAGAAAGAAATCAAAGTTAATGTTTCAGGTCCAGTGGCCCTTCCTCAGAAACCGAAATGTTAATTCTGATTTCTCTCCACAGATGCTGCTAGGTTGGCTGAGCTTTTCTAGCAATTTCTGTTTTTATTTCTGATTTATAGCACCCTCAATCTTTCGGTTTTTATTCAGCTCTTTCTTTTCCTTTTTAAATATCCGCAAAGATTTTTACTTCTGTTTTATATTTCTGGCTGGCTTTCTTTGTACTTTAGTTTTTCTCGCTCATTATTTTTAGCCATTCTTTGCTGTTTTTTCAAAATCTGTCAATTCTTCTGACCTGATACTAATCTTGATATATTTCGACACTTTCTTTTTCCTTCAATGTGAAACTACTTTTAACTGCTTTAGTTAACTACAGATTGGATGTCCTAGCCTGGACTCTTCCTTTATCACTGGAAAGTATCTTTGCTGATTGTTCTGAATTACCTCCTTAAGCATCTGCAAATGTATCTAGACTGCTATATTCCTTAACAAAACTATGATGTTCACCTTAGCCAACTCTATCCTTGTGTTCTCAAAATTGCCTTTTGCTTAGTTTAAAAGACAAATCTTAGATCCATTGTTTCCTCCCTCAAAATGAATTTGTAATTCAATCATGTTATGATTACTGCCACCTAGCGACTCTTTCATTCTGTTACTTTGATCTTTTGCCTTGCCCTCTCACTTTAATTTGCCACATTTTCCCTCACTTGATCTCAACAATGAGTTTAAAGCGCTCCCTACCACTCTGCTATATAGTTCACATCCCAATACTACAGCTCTTACTCACCCCAGTACTGATGTCAGTGCTGCATGAATTGAAACACATTCATCCTTCATCAATCTTTGAGACACTTTTAAATTTCTAGTCATATTTTTCCGAAGCCAACTGTTAATAATCATTTACAAGGTGCAGGGCTGGATGAACACAGCAGGCCAAGCAGCATCATAGGAGCAGAGAGGCTGACGTTTCGGGCCTAGACCCTTCATCATCTGATGAAGGGTCT